CCTCCCCTCCCCCATCCCCCTCCCCTTCCTCCCCCTCCTCCCCCTCCCCCTCCCCTCCGCCTCCCCTCCCCCTCTGCCCCTCCTCCCCCTCCCCCTCCCCCTCCTCATCTAGGGTGAGCTGGGGCTGGGGGCTGGCATGCACCTTAGAGGAAGAACTGACAAGACTTGAAGACAGGTGATTGAGGAGGAGGAGAGGCAGGGGTGCACTCAGGTCTCCGGCCTCAGCAGCCGGCTGTGTGGCGGGTCATCAGTCTCGCGGAGACGACAGGCATGTGGACAGGGTGTGGGTGAGGGCAGGGCGTGTGGAGGGGGCGCGGGTCAGCCCCAGGCAGTCCCTGTGCAATTCCAACATGGGACTGTGTGTAGCCGCACTGGGGGCCCGAGAACCGTGCTGATGGAGGCAGAGGGAGGGCCTGGGGTTTGTGGGACACGGGAAAGACACGTCAGGCCCTGGGGCTGCAGGAGCCACGTGCGGGCGTGGTGAGAACGCCGTGGGGGTGGCACCGTGGAGGTCTACACCCGGGGAGCCCGAGGGGCCTGCAGGGGTCACGCTGTGGCCTGGCACCCCAGCTGTGGTCTGGAAACAGCAGGCCACCATGCCCTTCACTCTGCGTCTCCCACCAGGCAGCCGACGGCTTCGCCACCCGGGCCGTGTTCGTGGCCGTAGCGGGAGCTCGTGGTGTTGCCTGTGCTGAGGTCCAGGGAGGCTCTCTTGTGTCTGGACAAGCGCAGAGGCACCTGGAGCCCGTCTTCCTCCCTCCTGCTTGGTGTGCGGCCATCTGGGCTGTCGCCGGTGACCGGGAGGGGGCGTCGGGGTGAGCGATCCCCAAGCTCCTGGGGCCTCTGCCGAGTCTCAGAAGCAGCCGTGGCACCACAGTGGTCTAGTGACGCCGCAGGGTCGTGTCCACCAGGACACCTGGCGCAGGGGCGAGGGGCCGTGGGGGGTGGGGTGAGCGGGCCGTGGGGGGGGCGAGGGGCCGTGGGGGGGTGAGGGGCCGTGCGGGGGGCGAGGGGCCGTGGGGGGTGAGGGGCCGTGCGGGGGGCGAGCGGGCCTTGCAGAAGGTGAGCAGGCGAGGCCCGAGCAGGGAGCGGGCACACCAGCTCTCACGCACTGGGAGCAGAGAGGGTCCCTGCAGCGCGCCGCCCCCTCCCGCCGCCCGCCGTAGCCCCTACACCCTGCGGCGAGGTCGTGGGGCCTCCCTCGTCCCCGGGAGGCTGGAGCTGGGGGAGCGTGGGGGATGGTGTCTGCCGGGATCCAGACCCAAGTTCATGCTCTCTGAATGCGGCCTTCACAGCTGCTTAGGCAGATTCGTTACTTTTACAAATGAGGAAGCAGCGCAAGAGGTGAGGCGACCCTGCCCCGGAGCCAGGGCTAGAGCCCGTGCCCCCGCGCCTGCCTGCCTGCCGCCAGCCTGCTGTGGCTGACCTGCGCCCGGCCGTCCTGGCTGGTGGCCTCGCTGACAAGCAGCACCGTCTCCCGTGCTGCCGCCGCTGCCTGAGAAGCCTCAGGCTGGGAACCCACCGCCCGTCCGTCCTAAACCTTGTTTGCTAACCTGGGGTTGGCGCTTGGGCCCTTGCCAGCGGCCACACAGCCTTGTGCTGAGAACACGTCAGTAACTTACATCCCCGCCTGGTGACTCTCCGTCTTCTCTTGTATCAGGCAGATTTATTTGGAAACAGGCCAGTTCTTTTTTTAAAAAACATTTTTTTAATGTTTATTTTTGAGACACAGAAAGAGTGCGAGCGGGGGAGGGGCAGAGAGAGGGAGACACAGGATCTGAAGCAGCTCCCGGCTCCGAGCTGTCGGCACAGAGCCCGGCGCGGGGCCTGAACCCACAGACTGTGAGATCACGACCTGACCCCCCAGGCGCCCCTCATCCCATGTTTTAAAACCACCTGCTCCCCCACCTCCACGGTGGGGGCCGGGGGTGCTCCTGGTGCCCTGGGTCACGGAAGTGGCTGTGTGTGGTGGGTGGCTCGTGTGTCCCTTCTCACTGGGTCACTTGTCTAAAAGAGTGACCGTTATTATAAACGTTTAACAGTCTCTCCGTTAGCTGCAGAACCTGGTCCTAAAACAGGATGCCCAGATATGTCAGACAGGTGGCGGCTCAGGTGCGCGAGGTCTGGCCGCTCAGCTTCGTTCTCCCCCCCGGGCCCCGCCCTCTCTAGCCCCCGCCCGCTCAGACCCCCGCTCAGGCCGGAGCAGTGCCCGCCCTGGGCACCCGGGCCGGCCGCTACCGCAGGCCCTTTGACCTGAGGGATTTTTAGAAGGTGTCTCATTCACTCAAAATATTTCAAATGCAGAAAAGCTCCTCTTTCTCCGTTACCCACCCAGTTAGTTGCTTTGGAAAAAAAGAGGTCAGACGCTGCCTTCCGTGTGGGTTAAATACCGTCAGTAGAGACTTTAAAACAGATTGTGCTGGTTGTTTGCTACCTGGAGACAGAGGGAAGGAAGGAGGGGAAAACCCCGCGTCCGCCGAAGACGGCCTCTCCGCGTTCTCAGCGGGAATGTGGTCCGAGTGTAGCCCACGCGGGGCGGTGCCCACGGCCCCAGGCCCACGAGCTCGCGCCCGGGCAGCGCACAGCCGTGCGGTCCGCGTCCGTCAGGCACTCGGCGTTACGTGCGTGTCCTGGTCGTCTTTCCTCGGCTCTGTTCTCGGGGCCGTGACGACTCTGTGTCCACAGCTGAGTCCTGCCTGTTCAGTTTAGCCTCAGCTGTGACATAAGCACTTTTCCCGCATCATTTCACTCCTGCGCACGATCGCCTCCCCCAGCGGCCGGCGGGCGGCTGTGCCCCGCTCGCTCCCCCTGCCTTCGCTGGGTGTCCGGGTGGCTTTGCGTTCACGGACGACGCCGTGTCAGACATCTTTGTGCAGAACGCTTTTCCCACAGCTCTGCTATTTCCTTGGGCTGTTTTCTCGGAAATGGAATTCCTGGGTCAGAGGGCTGAGTATTTTGAAATGCACAGTGTAATGCGCGCTGTCGGCGCTCCCCTGAGGGAGGGTAATTCCACCCAAGGGCCCCACTGCGTTCCCTGCCCGCTGCCTGAACGGCGAGGCCCCCGGGAACGTTCTGCGGATTGTTTATTCCATTTGGGTAGCAGGCTAGCAGCCAGTGGCCGGTTGGAGCCAACTATCAATGATGTATCGTCACCAGAGCAGGAATAGCCTGTTGATATAAAAAGAAACCCTAGGAAAAACCCCAAACCTTGTTTTTGACATTGGTTCCCCGCCTCCCTCCAGGCCCTTCCTGGAGCAGCTGACGTCAGGTGGGGCTGGGGGAGGCGACAGAAGGGGGCAGGGCGGTGGCCGCGTGGTCGGGGGGCCCTCAGGAAGGGCCCTGATACTCCTTTGGAGACTCTGGCCCGCGAGCAGCTCTCTGGGGCCCGGGCCCTGGCTGCGGGCCAGCGCGGAGCAGCGTGAGGGAGGCGCTCATCAGGAGATGCTATCTCTTCCTGTTGTCAGATGAGTCACTTGTGCCCGGCGGTGCCCATGGCGGGGTCTGTGCAGACTCGCCCGCCTGGCCAGAGTAGCCCAGGGGAGCAGGGCTGTGGGGGGGGGGCGCCCCTGCTGAATGGCGGCTGCCCCGCCGGCCGGAGCCTGACCCCCAGGCCCATGTTCTTTCCGGTCTTTTCCAAGGAGATGGATTTGGGACCCCTGGTGTGTACCCCTGGGCGGCCTGTGGAACAGAGTCCTTTATGTGCTTAGTGCTATAAAGGGACACTCATGGCCACGTGTGCCTCAGTTTCCCCATTTGTAAATGGGACCGATGGTACGCACGTGTCTTTTGGAGTGTGTTTGAAACCTCAGCTCTTCAGAGCATCATGTAAGTCCCCGTGACGGAGCGCATGGGCCTCAGCCTCCTGAGCAGGAAACGGCGCGCCTGGCCGCGGGGCAGCTCGCCGCTCGAGTTTCTCGCTCGGGTTCTTCACGGGGCCGCTGAACAGCCGTGTGCTTTGTCTTTGTGTCTTCATGAAGGTTCAAGAGGACGTGGAAGCTGCATGCCCTGAAGGAAGGCAAGGCCGGCACGCAGCCACGCACGCAGCCACCGTGTTCGCAGGGGCAGCTGGTCCCCGAGAGGCCCCAGCCCGGGCCGGTGCTGGTCCCCCTCATTTCTCCGCCAGTGTCCCCCAGCAGCTGTGGGTCTGACCACACGCCGGGCCCCAGCCAGCCAGATGCCACGGGCCCCCAGAGCCCTTACGACATCAGCAACAGAGACTACTTCTTCCCCAGATAGCCGGCAGGGGCCGGGCCGGCCGCACCGTGTGAGCGACAGAGCGCCGGCCGGCCCCTCTCCGGCCCCTCTCCGGCCCCTCTCCGGCCCCCCTCCGGCCCCCCTCCGGCCCCCCTCCGGCTGGCGGCCTCGAGGGAGGGAGGTGCGTGGCTTCCGGGAGCCAGTTTGCTGCCTCTGCCCGGAAGGGAGAGGTGGCTGTGTCTGGGAAGCGCCCTTTCCCCGATGCCTCACCGGGGCCAGAGTGCACTCAGGTGTGTCAGGCCACCGTGCCGGACACTCAGGTGAGCAGAGCCGGTGGGTGTGCGGGCCTGGCCTGCCTGGCCCGCTGGCCGCCACGCCCCCCACGCCCCCCAGTCGTCTCCTCAAGCTGCGGCAGGTGGGGAGACCCCCGTGCCGGCCCCCGGCGCCCTGCACGTTGCCACCTCTCGGCTCGAATCCCGAGTGCCTTCGCAAGTCAGTCTTCTCAGGTCTGAGGGTGGGAGGAGCGGTCGTCTGCCTTCCGCACACCTGGAAATTGCACAGACGGGTCGAAGAGCGTCTCAGGGCCTGGTGGTTGGAAATGGAATCGTACGTGCTTTCTCGCTGGCGTGTTGCTGAGCGCGGGTGGCTGCCCGAGCTCCCTGGCCCTGTTTGGACCCCAGGACTTCAGGGGGACAGAAGGGAGGGGCGGGTAGTGGGGACAGGCCTCCTTGCCCCCCAGGGGCCCCGGCCCCCCCCCCCGCCCCCCAGAAGAACTGGCCGCAGGGGCCCCTCCGCGGCAGGGAGGGGCTCGCACCTGGTTTTCGCCAGCTGCGTCTACTTTGTTTTCAGCTGAGCCCGAGAAACAGGGGAAGATAATATTTATGTGAAAAGACAAAAAGAACCGGCAAGAATGTATTTTAACTTGTTTTTTCAGAGAACTGCTGTTTGATGTTGAGGGCGGAGAGCCCGCGTCCGCTCGGTGGCGGGAACGAGCAACCTGGCCAGAAGGACAGGGACGTCGTTTAGCACGAAACAGTGGCGGCAAAAGGGAGGGGAAAAGAGTTTTCCTTTTCAAGCAGAGTCAGGTTTCATTCTCCGTCCAACGCCGTCTGCCTCTCGTTGAACTCGGGGGAAAGCGGCCACTCCCCTCCGAGCCGCCCCGGGGGCGCGCCGTCCAGCCCCCCACCTCGGGCAGGGGCAGCACTGGCTCGTTGCGGTCGGCTCTGCGGTCCTCCTAAGGTTCCTTGAATCGGGCCCAGCTCAGCTGGGGTGGGAGCTGAGCCGCGGCCGTGACAAGGGTGCTCGTGGTTTCCCCCGCAGGTGCCCTCGGCAGCGTGGCCTGTCCCAGGACGAAGCCGTGATCACAATCAGCCTCGTAACCGCGGCTGAAAACTTCCCGAACCACAGAATTTTCTCACAGGCTCCCTTCTTAGAAAAACCACCAGCAGCACCTGGCGGGCGGCGGCGCTGAAATGGGCGTGTTGCCCGGCGGGCGGCCGTCTCCCCACGGTTCCGCCGCAGCTTCGAGGCCCTGCTGCTGTGTAGACAACGGGTCTTAGGCTGACAGAAGGCTGGCGGGGTTTTTTGTTGTTTTTCGGTCATGTTTCTTTGAGAACGGCAGAAGTGCTGTGACAGGGGAACAGGGAGGCCGGGCCGCGGGCGGGGGCGGAAATCCAGACCCAGAGACCCCTGGGCTCCGCTCTGCACGCCGTTCGCACTTTCGTTATTATTGTCCTGAAACTGCCTTTTTTATTCTTTACTTTGTTTTTGTATTGAAGAGGGTTTTTTCCCTTGACTTCTGTATAAGCTAGTGTGAATGAAGGAGTGCTTTTCTCTGGGTCGTGGGCCCCGCTCAGTGCGCACAGGTGCCCCCGCGGAGCTTTCTCGGCGCCTCCGGGCCCTGCCACTCGCCCCACACCCGCCACGCGGTCACGTGTGAAATGACAGCCCACGCTGCCGGGTGGGAAAAGTTGAAAACACGCTGGTTCAAGGTCTGAGTTAACGTGGCCAGTAATTCCTGTAGCATTAATGAAAATCTTTTTGAAACGTCCGGGGATGGCACTGGGTGTGTCTCCGGAGCCTTTGGGGACTGAGCGCTCCTTGCTCGGAGGGGGCCGCGCCCTCCTGTCTGCCGGGCTCTGGGCTCACGGGACCCCCGCGCCCTGCGGACGGCCACCGTCCTCAGCCGTGCCGTCCGCTGCCGCAGCGCCGGGAGCCCGCCTGCTGGTGCACGGAGCCGCGGCGCGGGCAGGAGTGCTCGTGACGGGGGGTTTCCTGCGGAATGTTCACGAAGCTCTTGCCCGGCGGAGCTGTGTCGCCTCGTCGGCAGCGCTGAAGGTTGACCCACTGTGGGGAGAGGCTGACAGGTGTCAGGTGGGGCGGGGGCGCCGGGCGGCCCTTCCCCACCAGGCAGCCGGCAGCGGGGCTGTTGCTGGACGGCGGCCGGCTGGTTCAGGCTCTGGGCCAGACGCCCCAAGCGTCCCCCGAAGGTCCTCGGTGTGGCGGTGGCAGTGCCAGTCTCTATGACAACCTTGGCGATCATCCGGGAACGCCGGCTTGCAAACAGATGCGCTTTAGAAACTAGGAGCAGCACGCAGCAGGGCTGTGCGGCCCGGAACCGCGTTCGGACGGGGTCACGTATCTGTTGATAAAATACCTCAGCTTTACAACGTGTGGCTTTTTGAGAGAGAAATAATAGTTTTAATTTTTGTGTCTATTTTTTACCTGATTACCTGAAAGCAAATACCAAATGCTCACGTCTGAATGTGGGCCCAAGGGTCAGTGTGATGTTTTTCAATATTTTTTTATCAGCTGTTTTGCATTTAAAGTGAAAATTGTAAATGCCTGAAATAAATAATTTCTACAAACATGCTTGAGATGCAGTCACGCCTTGGGCCCCGGGCTGCTTAGCGGAAGGACTTGCTGATGGGAGGGGGACACAGGCCCTGAAACCAAGCAGAGCCACTGGCGCCCCAGCCCCAGGCGGGACCGAGTTCCCTCCAGAAGGAATCAGATAAGTTCAAGAAACAATAGCAATTTCTCGAAAGACTTTAATTGTAAAAGCGTTTCCCAAAATGAATCCTGGGGTTTCCGGCAGGGCGTGGGTGCCTGTGCCACGTTTACCATCACGGCGGGGGGTCAGGCGTGCAGGGAAGGAAGAGGGTGGGCCGTTACTCATCAGGAGACTGTTTATCAAACAGGGGGTGTGAGCGGCACCACAAAGGCAACCGTGGCCTCCCGAGCGGCAGCCTGACACTGTCCCCTCTGGAAGAGGGACTTTGGCAGGAAAAGCCGGGCCCACAGCCGGCCCCCATCCTCCCAGCAGATGAGAGCCGTCACGTGGCTCCTGCGTGTCAACAGCACCAGGCGGGGAGCCCAGAGACTGCGCGAGTGGAGGCCCCATGGGGCGCCCAGAGGGGAGCCTCGGGCCACGCCTGCCCGGCCCACTGCCTCCAGGGCGCCACCATCTCCTCTGAGGTTGGTCCTTGTCTGGCAGAAGGCACCACAGGAAGCCGACGCCCGCCAGTGGCTGGGCTGTGCGCCCAGCGGGTGGGGGGGGTGCCCTGTCTTCTCCAGGCGTCCCTGTCAGGATGACGCACAGTCGCCATGCTCTTTTCTGCGAGACCCGGGCCAGCAGCAGGCGAGTCTCGGATGGAAGGCTGAGGACACGCAGTTATTGGAAGAGCCGCTTAGGAGGGACGCCAGGCCTTTCTCGGTGTCTGCGAGCAGCATCAGCCACAGGCAGGAAGCCGCCAACTGTGTGCACTTCAAAGGCCTCGAGCTTGCTTGCTTTATTTTAATTTAAAAAAAAATTTTTTTTAAAGCCATCTATACACCCCACATGGGGCTGGAACTCACCATCCCGAGATGAAGAGTCGCACACTTACCGAGGCCCCCAGCCTGCGCGGTGGCAGCCCGGGCACTGGCCGTGCGGCTGTGCACAGGCAGTGACGGTCGGGGACGTGAGCCCCGCACCATCTCCAGACACGGGCCGGGCCACGCTTTCCTCGCAGGAGTCCCTGCCTTCTGCAAATGTGTCGCTTCGGACAAAACGGCACCTCACCCGTGTTCTGTTTCATAACAACAGTTTTAGGCAACAGTCCAACACATGAATAGAACTTTTTCAGTAAAATCCTGAAACGTTCATGCCGCAGATGCACGTGACACTCGGTTAAGGCTGTTTTCTAAGGGCACTTCAGACGCAGCCGCCGGGACTCACAGCCTCCCGAGTCACGGAGGCCGTTTGAATAGAACGGGATTCGTCAGGAAGAAGCTCCTGCTCTCTTTTGGGCTTTAGGTTTCTGTGTGTGCAACAGGGATTTTGAAACATTTGGTGTTGTAAGTGTGACTTCCTGGAGTCTGTGCCTGGCAAGAGTGAGGGAGGGGCTGGGGTGCAGATGGCACCCCGTGTCCACCTGCTCGCAGCGGCTCAGGGGCCCCACTCTGCAGTGGCTTGGGGGCCCCAGACAGACCCGCAGCGGCTTGGGGACCCCAGACACCCCCGCAGCAGGTCAGGGGCCCCAGACACCCCCACAGCGGCTCAGGAGGTCCAGACACTCCCGCAGCAGGTCAGGGGCCCAGACAGACCCGCAGCGGCTCGGGGGCCCCAGACACCCCCGCAGCAGGTCAGGGGCCCCAGACACCCCTGCAGCGGCTCAGGGGCCCCAGACACTCCCGCAGCAGGGCGGGGGCCCCAGACACCCCCGCAGCGGCTCGGGGGCCCCAGACACTCCCGCAGCGGCTCGGGGACCAGCACTGCCGTGCTGCAGGGGCTCCAGGGGAGGGTGTGATGTGGGTGCAGAAAGGTAAACATGGCCCCAGTGGTTCTGAGGAAGGTGGTCCCAGGGGGCCCCAGGGGTGACCGGAACGCAGCCAGTTCTAGCAGGAGGCAGGTGCTGGGGGGCCTCGCGCTTCAGGCCGTGGCGCCCTCCGGCCCATCGTGTCCAGGGACGGGTCTGAAGGTAGGAGGAGGCCGACTCCAGCCCCAGACGCTGACCCACAAGAGCCTTGTCTGTGCATGGCCGGGGGCGGGGGGGTCTCTGTGACCACGTGTGGTGTTACCTGGGGACACAACCTGGGCAGCAGGGAGGGCCGGCAGCAGCCCCACTGGCCACCGGGAATTGCACGGCCCCCCGTGGTGGGGAGGACCTAGTAAGCCCGCAGCAGGAGGCCTGCCATCCGTGACTCGTGACGCGGCAGGTGCTTCACGACAGGATGCTCCTTCTGGGCCTGGTGGTGCCGCAGGGGAGTGTGTCACCGGCCTGAGACGGAGGTGGGGGTGGGGGGGCCGGCCGCGGTCCGGGACTCCAGGCTAGGGTACAGCCTGGATGAGGCCGCAAGCCCGGCCTGCCTGACTCCAGGAGCAGCTGAGTCCTCCCCACGTGGCGGGGCCCTCAGGCCCGGCGACCACCTGGATGCGTCTGTCTTTCCACCCCCTGCTCCGGGCAGAGGCCTGGCCCACTCACCCCGAGGGCCAGAGACCTGGGTTCCGCATGAGGCTGTCACACCTGTCCTGTGAGCAGGGCCGGAGGCAGTGAGACCGAGAGGTGAGCTGGGCGGCGGGGACGACAGCCAGGTCCTCACTGCTGACGACCCTGGTCAGAAACCAAATGGAAGCGCGCCCCCCAGTCCACACCGGCGCTCAACTCCGAAGTCTGTGTGCACGAGTTCTTTTCTCCTGCGCTTCCTGTGCACACACTTGGATGAGCTTCCCTGAAATCCTCCATCCTTGAAGGCTTGCTACACCCACTCCCTCCAGAGGGATGATGGGCACGCTGTAAACAGTGGCGCTTTCTGGATGGTTGAGGCTCCGTCAAGGACAATGTCCTGAGCCCCAGTGCTGGCTGCAGGGTAAGGGGGGGCGGGGGGGGTGCTCCTCAGGGTGCTGGGTGTGGGGACATGGGGGCGCTGGGGGACACGGCAGTTACGATCTGATGCTGTCCCCAGGAGTGGGCGGCCAGCCTGGTGGAGGGGTACAGGCGGACAGCCACAGGCGGACAGCAGCTTCGCAGGGAGAGGCCGGTCAGGCCTGCACAGGCGCTAGCTGAGCAGCTCTGGGAGGTTTTAGGAGCATCAGGAAGTCACGGATAGATAGACACCCTCCTTTTTCCTTGTACGCATTTGTTTTCCTGAGCATGGGTGTTTTTACAACATTAAACACTTACCCCGCATCTGGGACTGGCTCAGCCAGGCTGTGCTGTGTGTGAAGGTCACTCGGCGTGAGGAGCAGGTGCGGCCGTAGGTCAGACGAAGTTGGCGATGAGGCTGGTGGAGCCCGCGCGTCCCCAAGGCCTGACGTTCTCCATTTAAAAAACGCAAGGATTTTCAGGGGAATGTTTCACTTGCAAACACAGCATTTACAACAGTCCAACGTGAGTACAAACATGTCTTTATCATTAACGGAAACCAGAGCCACGCTTGTGGGCATCATGCTGGTTGATGCCCTGATGAACTAATTAGCTTCACGTGCACAAGTGATCGATTTCTCCCTCAGTTAGTCCAGCCCAGGAATCCTGTTGATGACCAGAAATCAGAAGGCAAGCTGAATCCTTGAGACAATTCCATGCAGGATGCATTTAAGCCGGAACCACGATGGCGCGGTGGCTCGTCCGCGTGCTCGCAGCGCGGGGGCCGGAACTGTGGTGCTCGTGCGGGTTCTGGAAGCGGCAATCCGCACGCCGCAGACCCGGTCCCCTCGACAGCTGATAGCAGGCTGATCATCAGGCTTCAGACCACCGGTCCCGCGCGTAGAGCCTCTCCCAAGGGGCGGAGGGGACAGGCCCTGGGAGCCAGCCCACTAGACCCAGCACGGGCTTGTCCAGGGCGGAGACCGTACCTCAACCCGATTCCCACTGCCCGGCCCGAGCCCACGCGGCTCACACAGGGGAGGGAACTCGCTGGTGTCTGGATGTCTAACAGGCTGGCATTGCTTTTGGTTTTATCCCCTGCGGCAAAGGACACAGAATAAAAATTTCCATTGGACCCTTTCTAAGCGTGCAGCTTGGTGGTGTTAAGTATATTCGCACTGTTGTGTAAACAGCCTCCCCGGGGCCCGCCGTCCCCGCACTCTGCGAATTGGACTGGGTGCGTGGCGCCCGCGCGGCCCTGCCACACTTCCCCTTTGTGCCTGGCGTTTCACTCGCAGAGCACCCTCCAGGCCACCCGCCGCATCCCGGGGCCGCGCTTCCTTCCTCTTAAGGCTGAATACTCCATTCTGTGTTGTGAGCACGTTTTGTTCCATCTGCTTGTCTGTCCGTGGGCACGTGGGCTTCCACTTCTTGGCTGTTGTGTTTTTAACTTTATTTTTCACTTGTTAACTAAAACCACACGGTGAGCTTGCCACCTCCCACCTCATCGGGTTGTATTCTTCAACGTGGGGGGGGGGGTCTCTCCGCGGGAGGGCGCAGGCGTGGTGAGCAGGCTGGGGCGGCGCCCAACTCCGTGACCCCCGGGACGAGCTGCTGGAGGCTTCCGGCTGTGCGGATCGCTGATCTGGAAACAGGCCCCCACCTGGCTCAGCAAGTTGCGCAGGATTAGAGCGAGAGGCAGCATGAAAGCACTTCCGCAGCACACCCGTTCCTCACCTTGGCCTTTCACAGGGCCAGAACCTGACAAGAGCCAAAGCCTGGGCTCTTACAAACGTGTTCAACCTGGATCCCAAAAACCTTCACTCTGATTGCCGGGGGGAGGGGGCGCTTGAACATTTCTCCACAAGAACTTCCTCTCCTGTTACACAGAGACGCGGAAACACGATAGGCACTCGTTCTGCCAGGTGGCCAACTGTGAACGTTCAATGGGAATTAAAAATTTGACCCCGAAGGGTGACTGGCAGGCTCAGTCAGTCAAGCGTCCGACTTCAGCTCAGGTCATGATCACACTGTTCGTGGGTTCGAGCCCCGCGTCGGGCTCTGTGCTGGCTGCCAGCTCAGAGCCTGGAGCCTGTTTCAGATTCTGTGCCTCCCTCTCTCTCTGACCCTCCCCTGCTCACGCTGTCTCTCTCTCTCTCAGAAATAAATTTTTAAAAAATTGATCCTGAAGGACTCATTACGCAGCCTTCTTCTAGAACCTCAATGAACGTACTTGGCACTTACTCTAAACAGCACCTTCCGCAGGGAGTGCTCAGCATGGTGGGATCAGAATCTCCTGGTACACGGTTAAAAAGTTACAGATTTCAAGCTTCATGACAGACTGAAGCATCACCTCCCATGGTGGGACAGGGGCACCTGTATGAATAACAGCAGCTGAGTCAGAGGTGAGGCCACAGGCCACAGCTGTCCACACACAGGAAGCCGAGGAGGCGGTGAGGCTTCACGCCGCCCGGCCAGGCACGGGAGAGGCAGGCAGCAGGGCGGCGATGACCGCAGGTGACCGCAGGTGACCCGGGCCGTGGCTCTCACCACAGGAAGCACTTTCAAAGGGGGGGATTCTCCGAACTAATCCAGGAGCAAAGACACTGATTTTCTTGGAACAGCGTTTATGCAAGTGGCATCTGAGCGTAAACCTTCAGGAGGGCTGCTGCCCTGCGTCCCGGGATTTTACCGTCTCTCGGGCATAAGTGACAATGTGCTACACACGGGCACTGGGGTCACGTACAATCTGACAACATTTTCAAAAGCTACAAGCACGTACTAGTTCTGTGGAGATGGTAAAGCCCCCAACAAGGCAGCCAGGCCGTCAAGAACCTGACACAGGAAGCGCCCGTCTGCATCTTCAGTACAGCGCGGCCCGGGCTCTAAACCACGTCCACGCCCGCCCGGGGCTGCGCGTCAGCCCGCATTCACGAATCCGCAGGAAAGGCCGCGTGTCGGGGTGGCCACGGCAGCACGTCATCTCTGGCCGCGGGGCCGGCCGCCCGCAGTTTGCTCTCCCTCCGCTAGGCGGCGGGCACGCGCCGTCTCTGCACACGGTCGTGGGGTCACGGGCGCGGAGGCCAGAGGCCAGGATGAAGACCGAGGCCAAAACTGTGCTGCTCACCGAAAGGAGAAGCCCGCAAAGGGTCGAGACACATCTGTGGGGCAGACACCAAACACGTGTCACGAACCCATGCACGTGGCGGAGAAGGAGCCGGGATGTAGACTCTTCCTTGTCCCCTAAACAGAAGGAAACATGAGGCACGGACCTGTGACTACAAAAGGATATTTTAATAGAACAGAAAGGCTGCCCTTGTTTATTTTATTTTTAAAGTCTTTTAATGTTTTTTATTTCTTAGAGAGAGAGACACAACGTGAGCAGGGGAGGGGCAGGGAGAGAGGGAGACACAGAATCTGAAGCGGCTCCAGGCTCTGCGCCGTCAGCACAGAGCCCGACGCGGGGCTCGAACCCACGAACCATGAGATGACGACCTGAGCCGGAGTCAGACACTTAACCGACTGGGTCACCCAGGCGCCCCAAGGCTGCCCTTGCTTAAAATGAAACTAAAGAATATCTCAGATGCTCAGTTCTTCCAAACCAAGGGTTAGGATTTACTAACAAGGGCCATTAACAGAGCAGTAATGGTTAGATAATCCAATTAATGAATCAGGACTATTCCCCCATCTGTCCCAGCAACTTCTGCTCATGTCCCCATCCTCTGGCAGAGGCCAGTGATGACTCAGCAAAGAATAAAGGCTCTTTTTTTAAACACTTAAGACAGTACTTTGAAAAACTTCAAAGGACCCTTCTCGCCCCAGTAGAGGCGGCAGATCAATACTTTCCTGTTTATCCACACGGTAACATCACTCCACGATTTCACTCCCACTGATTTAAATATTGCCACTTCGCTGGTCGAAATCCATCCTGATCGGAACAGCTATGGTGGCAAAATAAAAAGAAATGTCCTGTAGGCTTGAAATGGAAAAACTAGATTCATCTGGTAACCTGGGCAGAGCATTTTTAAAACGGAACGGTGATGGAGAAGCGTCCCAGATGGGCGAAGCCTGGATGCCACGTTCAAGGCAAGGGAGCACAGACTGGCTAGGACATTATCCTCTTTAGAAGGAATCAGAAACTACCCTGGGACGCAGAGGTAACACAGAAGGGTGAGAGCACGGCAAAGTACTGGTATCAAGACAAAATGACAAAAAAACCAAGCACGCAGAGCCCAGAGCAGAACCGTGTCACAGGGTTTCAGGTCAGCTGGCCCAGGGGCCGCCCCCAACCCCGGGAGGCCGCGGGCGACAGTTCGCTGGGCCAAACCGTTTCCAGGGCCCGAGGTGCCCCTGACTTTCCTCAGCTGGGTCCCAGCCTTGGGGAGAGCCCAGCGGCCTGGCCGCCTCCTGACTCACCCCGTTCCTTCTTGTTACGACCCCCGTGTGGCTTGCAGTAGCCCGACCACTTGCAAACCCGCGTCTCCACTTCCCAGCACAGCAGAAAGTAACGCGACTGGGCAGAGAACGCGGGGCTGAGGTGTGAGCGGAGCTTCCGGAACGCGGGACGCATCGGGCTTGCTTTCAACATGGCCCCTCTCTGTTGCCCGGCGGGGGCAGCGGAAACCGTTTGTGCACGAACAGTAACTGTACCAAGCTTTCTGGCATTTATTACAATTAGGAAAACTGTATTTTGTAGAATAAGTTTAAGTAAAAAACAAGGTTTCACTTCTAGAATGTTGAACTAAAAATAAGTTTAATAAATGATCTGTATATGGAAGATAATAAATATTTGTTGAGTGCAAATGGAACTGTAGATGCTAAGTTAAAAAAAAATCTTGTGCCGAAGATGCCACACACGAACCAATCCACGCCAAAAACATTCTGTTGGTATTTAAAAAACAGGAGACTCTTCATAATAAAATCATCAAGATTCAGTAAGAAAAAGTTCCTCTGAAGTTATTTTAAATTGAGGATCACACAACCCAGTGGCTACAACCTTAACTGAATAAAGAAGAAAGGATTTACTAACCTCTAAATCGTAATAGAAGGATAACATCCAGACAGAAAGATATGCTTTCCTAAAAACTAACCAAACCTGCTTTTCTCGTGATTTAAAAGGAGCTACAAAAGTCAGCTTTTCCCTGAAGACGCTGCACATGTATCGGAGCCAGTTCTGATGTCCAGGCCGCAAACCCGGCCACAGATGCACCCACTCGGCTCTAACCGTCGGCCATTCACTGGGGTCTCCTACAGGAAGCCGTTCTCGTGGTTTTTTTTCACAGTAAAGGGTCAATGTAAGTTCCCAGTAAACCACAAAGAGAACAATACTATGAGTATTAATTTAATATCTTAAGCAGTAGTAATTAGGGAAACCTTGGTCTTTTAGAAATATTTTTATACCGCAAGCTGGCCTGCTGTGCACAGCCCAGGGCCCACTGCAGGTGGTGGGTGCGGGCGGTCCCCCCAAGGACGCAGGAAGAGAGGTGTGCATATGTATATATTCAACATTCACTCCAAAATACAAAGGCAATTGAACTAGGGAACAAACATTAACACCCAGGCCCTGGCAACTGAAATGCTGAAAGATGAAACGGAAGGTACTGGAAATTCTGCGTCATCATCCAATAAAACAATGGCTGTGGAGCTTTCCAAATTTTCATATTTGTTGTGTATTTTATTCTAGAATTCAGAATTATAGTGATGCCAAGGCTTAATTTATATCGCTGACTCTTAAATCAGGGGCATCTTCCTTCCTATTTATGCTTCTGTGAATAAGGATAAAAACGTCCCCAAGGATGGAGAAAACACAAACTTTCTTAGAAGGCTGACCAACACCATCTCGTCAGAGTTGTTGTGAATCTTCCCGGCTCCAGAGCTTTCTCCAAACCACCCATTGTTCACTGTTTTTCACTCTTCATCTGTTTCCCCAAGAAGGGGCGTGTAACCCATGCTCTCCGGTCCACACGGTCATTTTTTATTGCTTCTTATAAATAAATGCCAATTGCATTTTTGTTGATTGTCAAGACAACTAGCACGTTTTTGGAAAACCTTAACATTCCCGGACTCCTGACTCCCCTTTCCTGAGAGTCCGCCCCCACCACAGAACACCCACTCCAGAGAGTGCAGGCAGCGGGTGAACCACGACTTCTTATTGTAGAAAAGCAACAGGTCAGTAACCAAGTGTCAGGAATGGATTTAGGATCCCAGGTTTTGGCTTCTAGATGGAGACTCTCACTTCCCACCAACTCCCAGGGGTGCAGTCCCGCCGCGCCCCCGCTGGTGGCGCAGGCCCCGAGGGAGGAGGGCGTGGCCGCCCCTCAGTGCTGCTTGCTGTGCACCGGGTACAGTAAGGTCATGTGCTCGGCCCCCTTGAAGGGCAGCTTCTCGCTGGAGTAGTGGTGCACCACGGCGGGGATGCTGCCGAAGACGGCGCTGGTCTGGTCCAGCGTGTACTTGCTGTCTTTGGTCTGGGCCACTATGATGTGGACACACCCTTGACTCGTCCTGAAACGGAACAAAATTGAGGAGACGTGCGTGAGCCGGCCAGAGTCACGGGCACACAGGGTCTGACTCATGCCCGGAGCTGTCACAGAGGCAAACAGAAGACGTGTCCTGCTCCCCAGGGGCTCTCGAGGCTTCGGGACCTCGGCTAGAGGTGGGTCATCCTTGGGCTGTTTGTCCGTAACACACAGGTCAGCAGGGACTGGACCAAAAAGACAAAAGGGAAAGAAAAAGCGCAGTCCCCCCTCCCCCGCCCAGTCCCCCAACTGCCACACTAGTGCTGAAGCCCAAGCAGGAGGCCACTAAGGTGAGGTCCCCACCGCGGGTCGAGGAAGGAAGGTTCCACCCCCCACCCCCCCGGGAAGTCTGTCCCTGGTTGAACATGAACATCATGACGGTCGGCACCGAGGGCTGGTCCCACTCCAGGGACACGGGTGGCGCTGTTCCCGCCACTGTGTGTCCGCTGGCCCGCGCGCTGCCAGGCCCGCCCGGCCCCTCTCCCTGCAGCCCGATTGTTCAAGCTGCAGGGGCTCCGCTTCCGCAGGAAGGAAGTGCTTTGGGCTCTGACAATGATCCTGCAGCCCTGGGCCTGCGCGGCCGCGAGAATTTCCATGACAGGAGCCCAGCCGGGCCAGAGTGACCGCTCTGTCACAGTCGGGGGGGAGGGGGGGACAGTGAGCGGCTCCTTCTTCCCCACGAGAAGCTGGTATCAAAACCACAGTTGGCATTGCGACATCAAGGGCCCTGATTTGTTAAAGTCTCAAACACCAGGAAATAAAACAGCTGGGCTGCCCGCTGGAAACTGTCCTTCCGGTCGGGGTCACTTCCCCGGGGCCCCGGGGGGCGGGGGGGCCACGTCACATCAGCTGTCGAGGCAGAAGCTGCCGAACGTGGGACAGTAAGAGGTGCTCACTGTCCTCCCAGACGCCGGTGCACCTGCCCAGCACCAGCCCCACGTCCCAGCCCGCGCGCCACCGCACCCCTGCGAACCACCTTCAAATCACACCGTTTCGGGGGAGTCACCCGCCCGCCCGTGACAGGAAAAGGCCGTCAGCCCCACCCCCACCCCCCGCCCTCCCAGCAGGGTGCTCGCGGCCTCGGTACTCACTTTAGTGCAATGGAGTACCTGCCGCTCCCCGACTCGCTGCTCCGCACCAGGTAGGCGGCCTCCCTGCAGGGATGCAGCCGGCTCTCGGCCTCGGCACGGGTGATGGCGCCGTGGAACCAGCTGTGAGGGGGCACAAATCAGATCCACACAGGGCCGCGCTCCATAAGATATTATGATTTAAGACAAAATTTTAAACGGTTTTACTTATTTTTGAGAGAGAGAGAGAGACTGAGTGCAAGCAGGGGAGGGGCAGAGAGAGAGGGAGACAGGATCCCAAGCAGCTCCAGGCTCCGAGCTGTCAGCACAGCTCATGAACCACGAGATCACGTCCTTAGCCGAAGTCAGACCCTTAACCGACTGAGCCCCCTGGACGCCCCCATAAAACACTACTTTTAATGCACTACCGCGGGGAGCTCCGTGGCCTGAACCAGATCCTGCTTCACACTCAGGAGAGACGAGATACAGGTTTGGGTAAACCTGGGTCGCAAAACTGATCAGGCATGAGAGGAGCTGATGGCGCTAGCGTCCCTGGGAAGTTGTCTACGCGGGAGAATGGAATTGAAACCCGGCCCCGGGATGCAGAGCGCTTTCCACGCTGCACAAATGCAACAGGCTTTAAAACAGGTTTTCATTAATAAGCCCCCCAACCACGTATGAGCAAAATAACCCTGCAAAGTGGGCCAACCCCCCCCCCCCCCCCCCCCCCCCCCCCCCCCCCCCCCCCCCCCCCCCCCCCCGCCACCGGGCTCCCTGCGGAGGTTCGTTCCCGCACGCGCTCCCGCAGGGGCCGAGGACACTCACGGCTGCTTCCCCAGCGGCAGGGCCGGGTCCACCTTCTCCCCCTCGCTGTGCTCGGGGGCGGCCGGCTTCAGGACCTTCGGGGTCCAGCTCTTCTGGCGGTGGTGCTGCCTCAGCGCGTCCTCCTTGACGGAAGGTCGCTCAGAGCCTTCAAACTGAACTGGAAAGAAGGCTCGTTTAACACGGAGGCCACAGCGGTGGCCCGAGTGGACGCCCACGAAGACACCGCCCTCCCTGCCGCGCCCCAGGAAGGAAGCCCCCTGCGCGAGAGCTGAAGCCCACCGCGGACAGCCCGGACGGTGGCCCGCGCTCGGCGTCCGGGGAGCCTCTGGCCCCGTCCAGCAGTTCTGGAACCCGCGGCCTCGAGGGCACGCCTAGCGCCTGCGCCTAAAACCTTTAGCTTCAGCACCTTTAGAATAAATGATACAGAGCATATCATTCTAGGAAACCAAATAAGCAGTTTTTACTCTGAAATAACAGAGAAATCAACCTGGAAGCAAACTGCGCAACGGTGCCCGGGAGGCCACCCCGCGGCCGCACGGAGCAGACGCGGGCGCGGCGCGCAGGGGCGGCGCGAGCAGAGCCGGCGGCGGCGGAAAGCAGGCCTAGCGGGGGAAGGCGTCCCCGACTTCTCTAAACCCGAGGAAAAGGCCGCGTCAGCCAGGCGGAGGGCGCCCCCCCAGGCCGGGCCCGGTCCTGCCGATTCCGCAGCGGGACGTCCACGGGCCCGAGGCGCGCAGGGGCGCACAGGCGCCACTGACGCCATTCGGTGCCCGGGGCCTCAGGCCTCCGGGGCTCCGCGTCGGCCTGGCCTTCAACCCCAGGAGGGGCTCCCAGCGCCCGGCGGGCGGCCCTCACCCGACAGCGCCCTGGCGATCTGCTCCCTCTTCCACTCCCAGGGCTGCTCGTACTCGGCCGCCGGCCTCTCGTCCCCTGCGGGCAGCCGGGCCCGCCGCTCCTCTGCCCTGGGAACGCCGTCCGTGGGCTCATACGGCGTGTCGTACAGCTGGGGGGGCTTCCCCAGGAGGTCCTTGGAGCCCCGTCTCTTGGCCGAGGTCTCCGACTTCGTGCTGGTGTCGCCCGCCTCGCAGGGACCGTCCAGCAGCTGCAGGGCCTTCACCAAAGGGTCCTTCGAGCCTCGGCGCCGGATTTCTGAAAGACAGCGTGCGTGAGGCCTTGACAGAAACGAGCGTGGCAGCCGGTAACCGAGGAACGCATTCCCTCCTCCCGCGTCCGGGGACGGGAACAGAGACCGTCTCCTGGGCCCGAAGCAAAGGGGCCGCTGCTCTCCGCACACCCGGGCCGGCCACCAGGGCCACCGACCAGGGGTCACCTGGTGACGGTGGCTCGGGGCCACGTGCAGCTGTGGCCCAGGGCCCACGGTGCCCACGCCCCCCGGAGGGCCGGGACCACAGTGTTTTAATAAAAGTCGGTGGGCGGCCACACCCCCCGCTCTGGGCTCAGGCCGCTGAGGAATGACACGCAGGCGCCCTGGACGGAGTTCCCGACTTCTGGGCAGTTTCACAGGGAGCGGCCCAGACACGGCCGCCAGCAGCGCGGGCCGGTGAGTAAACGCGACACAACGTCAGAGACGGCGCGCCCTGGGGCCTGCACCACGGCCCTGACACGGGCGCCGTGCTTTCCTGGCGTGACAGAAGGGAGCGCGAGTGTCCTGAGCAGCGGGCGCAGGGCGGGGACGCGTGGGACGCGCAGGCAGGAAGCTGGGCCCGGCGCACGCGGACAGACTCCACGAGGGACGGCGGCGGGTCCACTGACGGGGGGGTCACTCCCAGGGCCGGAGGCCGCCGGAGTGCAGACGGGGCGCGGGGGGGGCACAGACGGTGACTTCAAAGGGCAGAGGGGAGACGGGAGACAGCGGGGGCTGGACTGGGGGCCGCCCGGGCTCCAAACACACGTTTTATTTAGTTATTTTTAACATGTATTCATTTTTACATTTTTAAAAAATGTTTTATTTATTTTTGAGAGAGAGAGAAAGAGAGAGAGAGAGAGAGAGAGAGCGCGCGCGCGCAAGCAGGGGAGGGACAGAGAAGGACACAGAATCTGAAGCAGCTCCAGGCTCTGAGCCGTCAGCACAGAGCCCGACGCGGGGCTCGAACCCACGAACCGCGTGATCCTGACCTGAGCCGAAGTCGGAGGCTTAACCGACTGAGCCCCCCGGGCGCCCCCAAACACAAGGATAATAGTTCAGGTTGTTCTGGAAACAGTCCATCTTACATCTTTAGCAGAGATAACAACTATGTTTGTGTTTCACTGGAAGTTAAGCAGCAGCTACGGCCACGGAGGGAAGCAGCCGGGAGCGCCGGACCGAGCAGCTCGAGGTCCAGAGGCCTCGGCAGGCGGGGTCTGGCGGCCCGACCGCTGAGGTGGAAGGACCGTACGCTGCGGCTCTTCCCGCCGCGGCGCCGTCAGGGACCTTCCCGCGCGCCACCTCGGCCGCCCGCACCGGCTCAGGGCGCCGTACCGGCCGCGTGCGCAGGGCGAGCCGCTTGCGAGGCCTGGCGTCCCGGCGACTCCCCACGTGCGGAGACCTTCCCCGGGGCCCCTCCGTCCCGCCCGCCTCCCACGGGGTGGCCGCTAGGGCCGCGGGACCCCCACGCCGCCGCTCTGCTATTCCAGACGCGGTTACGGGGAAGAAGCCCCCCAACCCCGACTCTGTTTCTGGTTCAGGTAAGAGCGGGCTGGAGGGTTTTTTTAACAACAACGCTTCTCTAGAGCCAAGAAACGGGAAAGAGAAAACACAGCGGAACTCAAAGCACGAACCTAGAAACTGTAAGTCTCTGATCAAACCCCGGGCTGAACGGCAGTTTAGACAGGGACCCTGCCCCCGGCCCTCGACTCGACTCAGCCCTGCCCACAGGGAAATCTCCGTGTCTCCGCTGAAATTTCGTCAACAAGTAGGGTCTCGAATGAGGCCGGCAACTCGGCGCCGGAGCCCCTGGGGAGGGGGCCTTCCCGGGCCGGCCCGTGTCACCGTCACCTGCCACACGCTGTTTAATTAGGGGAAACAAGGGCCTGAGCGGCGGCCCCCGGAGGGAGTCACCTTCCATTCCGGCACCTGCTGCCCCCGCCTGAGGCGCCACGAAACAGAAACAACCGCGGGGCAGGGCGGCCTTCCAGCCCTGACGTGCAGGGCCGGCTCCGGGAGGAAACGGGCCTGAGAAGGAGGAAACGGCGAGAGGAAGCTACACCCCGGCCCTGCTGATAGAGGCCATTTACCTCGGGGACAACAGGCCGCGGGGTCTGGACAAGCCCCACCCGCCAGGCCCGGCTCAGGCCCAGGCCCTGCCTTCACAAGGCAGGTGGAGGTGGTGGCGAGCCGTCCTCTGTGCTCACACAGCTCCCGGGGGGGGGGGGGGGGGTGGCCGGCGAGCAGGGAGACCCAGGCCAGCCCCTTCCCACAGGGTGGCCCCAGGGCCCCGGCCTCGTCACCGTCACTCTGTGCCCCGAAGCTTTCTCACAGAACGATCACGACATTTCCGTAGCACACCTGCCCCCCGGCCCATTTCCCGATGCTTTCCCCTCAGAGAGGTTTCTGGGCACGGCTGTTATTAGTGCTCAAGCTTTTGATGTAAAATGATTTGCATATTTTCTTATCAAATAAATCTAAAAACCTGAACAAAAGCAGATACCATTGAGGAACTCTGAAATTTAAGTTTCACAAGTATAGACAAATTAGATAAAATCTATTTTTGTTTTTTTCCATAATGAAATTTTTAAAAATGTCTGTTCATTTTTGAGAGAGATAAAGAGAGAGAGCACGAGCAGGGGAGGGGCAGAGAGAGGAATCCGAAGCAGCTCCAGGCTCTGAGCTGTTAGCACAGACCCCGACGCGGGGCTCGAACTCGCGGAGCGCGAGACCATGACCTGAGCTGAAGTCGGACGCTTCACCGACTGGGCCCCCAGGCGCCCCTCCATAATGGATTTAACGGGCAGCCCAACAATGAGGTTCTCCTTCAGATTTGACTATTCAGGGGCTCCTGGCTGCCTCAGTTGGGGGAGTGAGGGGCTCTTGATCTCAGAGTCGTGAGTTCAAGCCCCAGGCCGGGCGCAGAACTAGGCAGACAGACAGACAGACGGATGCTGGCGAGTGCAGATGGAATGACCTGGCGCCTCTACTCTCCAGCTGGGCCACCAGACACATTGCTGAATGGTTCCAAGCTCTGGTGTCCTCACTGCCTGCCAGACTCCTAACACCACTGCACGGGGCTGCGGGCTTAGCCAGGGAACCGGAGGGCCGGGCACCAGTGCCAGAAGCAGTTCTCACACGGAACGGGGCCGTCTCCGTGACGAACACCCTTCCTGTGCTAAGGTGCCACTTGGTGGCTCGATCGCATCAGCTAAATTAGGTAGAGTATTTCTGCCAATTTCGTGGCTAAAACGCTCCTGCCGCTTTGGCGGAACAGAGAAAGGGCCACTGATAACCACCTTGTGTTCATAATCGTAGTTTTTTGAACAATCCTTTGGGTAAATCTCAGGGAGTATTTATAAACTTAGAGATTCTTAGTTTTTAGTGCTAAGAGCAGACTTCTGGGGGGTCCTGGCTAAGGAGAACACCCTGGCTTCTGCCCCCCGACACAGGCGGGCTTCTGAGTCTCCACCGCACGGCACGTAACACTTGGTGACGTGTTTTCTTGTCTGCTGGTGTCACGTCTGTCTGCCTCTTGGGTCGTGAGCTCAGTCCATAAGGACACGACCACGTGGGTCTCGTCCCCGGGGGCCGGGCGCCCGCAGACCGTGAGGTGCGTCCCGCCTCCTCAGGGGAACCAGCAAGGACAGGGGCTGGTGTCCTCCCTCTCCTGAAAAATGTGAAACTAAAGAAAAATCTCTATAACGTGTTTCCAGAAAAAGGAGACATTTCTGAGGGTGTGTGGGTCAGCCAAGCATACAAGGACCAAACAGAACAAAAGAGGCAGAAGGTTAAAAAAAAAAAAAAAAAAACACCCAGCAGCAAATCTTTTATTTCCAGCTTCCGATCAACTCACTTCCTGTTATTCTGTCCAGCTGTGGAGCCCACGGGGAGAATTAGAGACATGTTCTCCACGCCGAGAAGCTGTGTTCTGATACACATTTTAAATGAGATTTTAAAATTCATGGTTTTCTTAAGACAAAATAAGCTATTAATTCTTGAAAGTTAGTAATTTAAATGTATAATAAATTTGAATTTATTCTCCAACTGGATATATTAATCTAGTATTCCTGAATAAATGTATTCACATAAACTGTAAGACAGAGCCTGGCACTTAACACTTGCATATTAAATGCTGGTTATTATTATTATGTTTATTTCACATTGGACAATTCTGATTTTTCAATACAAACTTCTTTGTGAGTCTGAGCAGAAAGATGCCTCATTTATGTGTAAAAGTAAAAAAGAATTTTTTTAAATCTTTACATCGGAAGGATAGAGAGACCGAGCACAAGCAGGGGAGGGGCGGGGGGGGGGGGACACAGAATCCAAAGCAGCTCCAGGCTCCGAGCTGTCAGCACAGAGCCCGACGCGGGGCTCGAACCCACAAACCACGAGATCACGACCTGAGCCGAAGTCAGACTCTGGACCGACTGAGCCACCAAGAGCCCCAATTATGTGTAAAATTTAAAGTGCTTTTGCTCATCGTTTCAAATGTGTCCCGAGGCTGAGGCTGTGCGGGGTGGGAAGCCAACCACCCACTCTGGGGGAAGATGGGGACCCAGTTGCTGCTGTCTCTTTATTAAAGAGTCAGAATCTGGTTCTGTGAGAGGAAGAGGGCTGAGGTCCGAGCACAGTCCTGCGAGGGTCACGGAGAATCGAGGGGGGCACTTTCCTCCTATCAGGGTGGCCCCACAAATACAGAGCCGGGACAGGACGGATAAACTACCCATTCTGGTTAAAGAAAAAGGGAGGAATAAAAACCAAAAGACAGAAGAAAGACAAATCAAAATTAAACCTCTAAAAAAAATCTTTTCCCTCGATTTTATGTAAATCTCTTCCTCTAGTCCTTTCAAGCCTCTGATATTTTTTAAAATTCTGACTAAGTTCATTTTCACTTCCTTTCATTCACAGATTTCATCAGAGGACGCAGTCCGTGACCTGCGGGGTCGCAGCCCGGCCAGGGTGCGCCCTCCGCAGGCGCGGCCTTATCTCGGCAAGCAGGCAAACAGGACGCGGCGCCCCTTTCCTGCGCAGCTCGGGGCCATCCTGCAGCCTGTCCTGACCCGTCCAGGGTGCTGCTTCCCCGCGCTCCCTCCCCCGGGCCCGGGCGCCACGCCTGGCGACCCGGTCCCGCCCCAGGCACCAAAGGCCCAACCGAGGGTGCCTGGGAGTCAGCGCTTAGAGACGCACTTTTCGTTACCGATTAAAGAACATTTAAGGGAAGACAGAGTGAATACGTTACGCACTCTAAATTTCACAAATAAATCTAAACAACTAGTTCATATTATTTCTAGGTATCATTCCCGGGAACGTAAGACAACCGTGAATAAAAGGGCAAGCGGGGCGGGGAGGGCGCGGGCGGCGCTGCCCCACGCGCGGAGCAGGGGGCTCTGCTGCCCCTGCGCTCACACCAGGGCTGGGGGTCAAGTTCGGCTCCAACAGCGCAGAGCTCGGGGAGAAACCGCTCCTCTGCTGTGACACAGACGATCGTGTCACGTCCGTGTTTCCTAACAGCGCGAAATCCTTCAGGCGTGTCCCTGGGAGTTTGCCGACCCCCCTCGCAAGTGTCAAAGAGGCCAAGAAATGCATGCGAACAAGCTCAGCGCTGACGGTCGCGTCCTGAGCACATCTGCAAACTCACAAGTGTCATTTCGCACAGAATTTAAAAAATATTAAAGACCTTGCAAACCCTAAAGCCGGAAGATACAAAACCATAAAGACAGTTGATGAGATATTTTGGCCTTATTTGGGGTTCTGATTTGTTCCTTCTGGTCAGAAGACCCGACCGAACTGCGTCGCGTCTCTGCCCCAAACACGGGCAGGCGGCTCTCACCTGCAGAGCGTGAGCCGCAGCCCGACCGCCCTCGGCCCACAGACCTGTTATCATCTGCTGCGCGTCGTACGGCTCCATGTACCCGTCGTTCTCGCCCACTCTCTCTGCGTCCCTCTGACCCTTTGTCCGCGTGGCATCGTAAGGATCAGCGTAGTCTTCCAAAATGATGACCTTAAAGGAACCAGAGAGGAGATGGCCAGGGGTGATCACCAACCGGGCGGCCATGGACCGAGACGGTTACGGAAAATCCGCAGAGTCAGAACGACCTCCCACCAGCTCCGGACGGATCTGGTCGTGCTGGGTCGTGTCGCACGTGGGCCACCCTGACACCTGTCCTGGGGGTGCAACTGGCAACTGGACAGCGGCGGCTGATGGAACTGCCCCCGCCCCCCCACCCCCCCTGTAAGTCAGCCGGTCGCCCGTGAGCGCTGGGTGTCCACCCGCACCGCGAGGCGCCGTGACGGAACCGAGCCTGTGTCCCGTCCCCCAGCGATCTGGAACCCTCCAACGAGAAGGCTTCAGAGGCCTGAGGAACAGTCAGCCCTGAAGAGCACTGGGGAGGTCTGGGTTCAGCAGCTCACAGGCACACCGGTGTCGCCAAGAGGCAGTCAGAGTTTCGGTCCCTACTTGGTGGGGAGCAGCATCTAGTCCCCCCAACACAGAAAGGCCGCCTGCTAGGCCCCCCCGGGGCAGAAGCAGTTTCGGGGGGGGGCAAAAAGCACAGCCCCTGCCCCGTTATCAGTGCGGCTCCACGGTAAACAGCCGGGAGAGCATAACTGCTCACTCCAGCAGAGCAAGAGGAGTCAGAACCGGGGGGCCCCAGGCCCGCTACCGACTCAGACGGCGTCAGAGCTCGCGGACAAGCATGGCCGCAGCCGGCGGGGAGACGGGGGCGGGGGGCACCTGAGCCACAGGACACCCAGTCGTGGTGCCTGAGCAGCCACTGCAGAGCCAGGAGCCGCGTTCCGGGAAGAGAGGCCCACGGGACGCTGCCCTCGCTGTGAGGCGGTCGAGGCGCTGCCGTGGTCACCCTTCCACGGGGTCCCCCTTCCACGGGGTCCCCACCCGGTGGCCCTCCCGCATCTGCGGAACGAGTGGGGGGACAGGGCCTGGAGCAGACACACTGGGCCCAGGCTCTGCTCGCACTGCGCCCGCCGGGGAGGAAGGTCAAGTTCCCACAGGAGGGAGTGACAGCCTGGGCTGGGGGTGAGCTCTTCCCTCCTTGTTCACACAGAAGAGTCGGTTTAAAAAACAGACAAAACCCCAACTCGCCTCTGTGAGAATGGAGGGGGCCTGCTGGCGGGGTGGGCGCCCCGAAGCCCTCGGGGTGGGAGAGGCAGGAAACACCTTCCCTGCTGGGCTGTGATTTCCTCCAGGGCATTTCCTGGCCCCACGCGACGCACGTCCCCCGAATGAACGAAAGGGCTACAATTTGGGGTGCGGGGTGGGGTGCACTGCGGCTGAAACTTCCCAGGCAGCAGAGGGGCTGCGGGGTGCGGTCAGCCGGGACCCCAGGCTCTGAAACCCGGACCTGCGGGGGGGAGGGGCTCGAGGCGTAAGTCTAGCCTGGCCGACCCCCGAGATCACAATCAGCCCCGTTTTCAAGGGGCTCAAGTTCAGCAAAGCAGGAAGGTCTCCGATTACGCCCCCAAACTGACAAAATTTCACGGAGACCACATTTCCGCAAAGTTCCCTCCCCTGAGAACGAAGGTTTTGTCAAGATGGGAAAAAGCCCGTAACGACCGTGAGCGGCCCCGACGCGGCCCCGACGCGGCCCCCGCCTCCGCCGTCTCACCGGGTCCTGCGGCCGCGCGGCGCGGCCGGTGCGCAGCGCGGGGCCCGGGGAGGCGGGGGAGGAGGACGCGGAGGACGAGGTGCTGCCCCCCCCGCCGCCGCCCTTCTTCTCCTGCGCGTCCACCTTGATGAGGCGGCTGATGTAGGTGCCGCACCCCGCGCTCCGGCCCGCGCCCCGGGGCGGCTCGTCCTCGGCGGCCCGCGAGTTCTTGCGGCCCTTGCCCGCGGCGGCCTGGAGGAGGCCCTGCAGGCTGTCCCGGGGCGGCCGGCCGTCCCTGGGGGCGCCGCCGCCCGCGCGGCCGCTCCCCAGCTCCGCCGCCGAGTTCTTGCGGCCCTTGCCCGGGGCCGGCGCGGCGCCGCCCGCCTCGGAGTTCTTGCGCAGTCGGCCGCCGCCGCCACCGGGCCGGGCGCGCTCGGACGCCGTCTTCAGGTTCAGCGGGAACTCCTTGAACCACCGCGCCGCCATGGGGGGGGCCCGCGGGGCAAGCGGCCGAGGGGTTCGGCGCTCGCACGGAAGGGCGCCTGGGGTCGCGGCCGCCGCATTCCCCGGGGCTGCTCTCCGTTCCCAGCCGGCCGGCGCGCGGCCCGGCGGGGCGCGGCGGGGACCCGGGGCCGGGCTCTGCGGGGCGGCGGGCGCCCCTGCTCTCCCCCCGCAGCACCCCGCGGCGGGACTGCCCTGCCCACCCTCACCGGGGCCACACGGGACGGCGCCGCGACCGACCCGGGACGGACGACGGGCCGCCCTCCCCCGGCGCGCCCCTCCCTCGGCGGCCGGCGCCTCCCGCCCAGATCCGCCGGGGTCGGCGCCTGCGCCGCGGGCGGGGGAAAGGGGGCGCACGTGCCGGCCCGGGGCCCCCGCGCCGAGCAGCCCCCGCCCTGCGCCGCGAGCCGCCGACCGCCGGGGGGGGGGGGCCGGGGGGCTGCCGAGCGGGGCCTCCCTCCCCCGGCGCCCGCGCCGACCCCCTCCCTTCCGGCCCCGCCCCGCCGGCCGCTGGGGGTGGGGTGGGGGGCGAGGGGGCGGAGCGCGCAGCCGGGGCGCGGCGGCAGGTGGACGCGCGGGGCCGGGGCAGGTGCGGCGTGGTGGGCGGCGGGCGGAAGCCGCACCCCCATTTTCCCCCCGGGGGTGGCGGGGCGCGCGGTCACCCCCGGGGCAGTCGCCCGCTCGAGCCGGCGCGTCTGCGGAAGTAGCGGCGGGGGGTGTGCAGACCCCGAGGCGCGTCGCGGTCCTGGGGGCCCTGCGAGCTCCCTCCGGTTGGAAGGAATTTGGGGCACGACACGTCCGGCGGGAAAGTGAACTTGCTGCAGAGGCGGCGCCCTGCGCCCTCGCGGGGGGCCGGGGGGGGCCGCGGGGGTCGTGACCGGGAGGCCGAAGCCGCTGGCCACTGCCAGCCTTTCTCGGACGCGTCTGGCGACCTCGTACGAAACGGCGTTACCGCGGTCTAACTGACGCAACACGAAATTCACCGGTTTCGAGTGCACGGCCCGAGGCGCGGCCTCCGCGGGCTCATCTCCGGGCGTTTCTCCGGTTCGGAAGGAGGTCTCGCCCGTTAGCGGCCCGCCCTGCGGCCGCCGGTTCTGTGCCTCGTTCTGGACGCTTCCTGGACCGGGAACAGCGCGGCCCCCCGCCCGTCGCCGCGGCCCCCCCGCGTCACCCTGGGTTTGACCCTCGTCCACACGGCGGCGTTTATCACACTCAGGCCCTCGTGCTGCCGGACGCGGTTCCGCCGCGTGTACACAGCGGCTCGACGTGCATCCCATCCGCTCCTCATCTCACCGTTTGCACTCGGGGGCGCCGCGAACGAGTCTTCGTGCGGACGTAGGTTTGAGTTTGTGTTGAGCGGAGAACCCGGGGATTGTGGGGCACCCGGACTTTGAGGAGCCCCCATGTTAACGTGGGGCGTCAGTTCTCGCCCCTGCCGGTGAGGTGGGGTTACAGCGCTTGGGGCTGGTAGGTCATAGCCTCGACTTGCGCTTCCCTGGTGGGGGGAGGCCAGGGGTCTTCAGGGGCTTCCTGCCATTTCTGTGTCTTTGGAGAAATGTCTATCAGATTGCCCACTTTTTAGTTGGTTTATTAGATCTTTCGTTATTGAGTTGCATGAGTTCTTTATATGTGCTTTGTCTTAAAAAACAAACACACACCTTTTTATTTTATTTTATTTTTTTAATGTTTTATTTATTTCTAGGAGAGAGAGAGAGACAGCGTGAGCGCAGGGGAGGGTCAGAGAGAGAGGGAGTCACAGACTCTGAAACAGGCTCCAGGCTCTGAGCTGGCAGTCAGCACAGAGCCCGACGCGGGGCTCGAACCCACAAACCGCGAGATCATGACCTGAGCGAGATCATGACCTGAGCGAAAGTCGGACGCTTAACCGACTAAGCCACCCAGGCGCCCCTTTTTTTTTTTTATTAAATTTTTTTTTAATGTTTTATTTCTAGGAGAGAGAGAGACAAACACCCACCTTTTTAAAAGCTGCTTTTTGAGAGAGAGAGAGAGAGAGAGAGCATGAGCAGGGGAGGGGCACAGAGAGAGGGAGACAGAATCTGAAGCAGCTCCAGGCTCCGAGCTGCCAGCACAGAGCCCAGTGTGGGGCTTGAACCCACAAACTGGGAGATCATGACCTGAGTGGAAGTCAGACGCTTAACCAAGCAGGCGCCCTTTCCTCTTTGTATTTTCGAATGCGGAAATAAGACCCTATTGCAGACCATGACTTTGGAGTTCTGTGGTCTAGATTCAAAAAGCAGGCTTTTCCATTTATGAGCAGAGGTCATGTGGTCTTGGACGCATTGCCAGCTTGTCCCGTTTGGGCGCCAGGGGCCGCCTGCACCGTGGGGAGTGATGCCTTGCTTTTAGAGCCCCTGTGAGGGTTAAGTGAGAACCCACAGCTCAGCAGAGCGGCCAGCAGACCCTACAGGTATCTTCGGAGGATTTAGGGTGGGCCTCGGCTTGAGAGTGGGGGTGCTGGCCCTTTTCAGCCCACAGACTTTTCCAGGGATTCCCGGGAAATTAGCCGTAGCCCTGACTGCGCCCATAAACCTCTCTATTCGTCCATACTTGCATCTTCTAATTATCTGTTTGTAGTTCGGTTTCACATTCATTGCAGTTGACCCACAGCTGGGGACGATTTGGAGGAGTTCCCATTTTCTTCCAAAATTTAATGTTTAAATTTGTTTCTCCTAAAATTAAAAAAAAAAATCCCTTTCAGGTGACTTTGACAGTTTTTTTTTAAATTTTTAACATTTATTTATTATTGAGAAACAAAGAGAGAGCATGAGCAGGGGAGGGGCAGAGAGAAGCAGAGACACAAAATCCAGAGCAGCTCCAGGCTCCAAGCTGTCAACACAGATCCCGACAAGGGGCTCAAACTCACAAACTGAGATCACGACCTGAGCTGAAGTCGGTCGCTTAACGGACTGAGCCACTCGGACGCCCTGACAGTCTTCTTATCTGTAGGGAAAGAGCCCAGTCTTTAGAGCCATAGACCCGAGCTCCCCCAGTATCTTTTATAATCTGCCTTTTCCATCCGTCAGATGGGAAAGTAATCCTGCACGAAGCCCTGGGAACGCCAAGGAAGTGCGCACAGCAGGGTGGCTGCTCTTAACGGCGCTGGCGCCTTGGTGCTTTGCGGCATCATCCGCCCTGGGGACCCACCGCAGCAGTGTGTTGATTCCCATTTGACAGATTAACCGCCCCCAGGGTCCCTGCGCTGGGCGCCCTTCCGTGGCTCTGTGGCAGGGGGGCCACTGCGCACGGAGGGGTGTGATTTCAGGAGGGATCGGTTTCCTGTTGGCTGTCGTATCAGATTACCTCTTTTTTGGTGGCTGAACCCAAGCTACGGCTCTGTGGTCCTGAGGTCCAGCGCGGTCAGCTGAGCGGAAGTCAGGTGTGGGCGCCCCGCTCTGCCTGGAGGACCCGGGGAGAGCCGTCCGCCGGCCTCCCCAGCGTTGGAGGGGCCGGCCGAGGCCTCCCTGCTCTGCTTCGCTTTAATCTGCAGTCACATCTCTTCACCCACCCACTGCTGGTCCCCCTTGGCCTCTCCAGGGCCCCTCCGACTGCAGGGGGCCCCTAGTCGTCTATTTTAAGATCAGCTGATGAGCAATTCCAGTTGTTTGTCACAGGACCCAGCAGGTTCCGAGGGGTGACAGTGGGGTTTATAAGGAGAAACACGTATTTGGTTTTTGTCCTGTTCCTGGCACGGAAAATCCCGTGGAATTTCCTGGGCTAAGAACCACAAAGGTGTCTTTTCTTATGGTAACGAGGTGGCCGGGAAGGCCGCTGGGTGCCTGGGGAAGGGGTTGGAACCGCCAGGCCCACCCACCTGCCCAGCCTCCAGGGAGGCTCAGTCCATCCCCAGCGGACGGTGAGCTGAGCAGCCAAGCCTGTGACGAAGCCTCCACAAACCCCCTCCACAAACCCCCTCCACAAACCCCCTCCACAAACCCCCGGATGACAGGGCTCGGGGCTGGTGAACACGCAGGGGTTTGGGGAGAATGGAGCTCCGGGGAGGCCCGGGGCCCCTGTGCCCCTTCCCACACGCATTGCTTTTTTTTTCTTGAAGATTTTTTTAAAGTTTATTTTTGGGGCACCTGGGGGGCTCAGTCGGTTGGGCGTCCGACTTCGGCTCAGGTCATGATCTCAAGGTTCATGAGTTCAAGCCCCGCCTGGGGCTCTGTGCTGACAGCTCGGAGCCTGGAGCCTGTTTTGGATTCCGCGTCTCCCTCTCTCTCTGCCCCTCCCCTGCTCATGCTGTCTTTCTCTCTCTTTCTCAAAAATAAAAAGAACATTAAAAAAAAATTTTAAAGTTTATTTATTTTTGAGAAAGAGACAGAATGAGCAGGGGAAGGGCAGGGAGAGAGGGGGACAGAGGATCCAGAGCGGCTCCAGGCTCTGTGCGGACAGCGGAAAGCCCGACACGGGGCTGGAGCTCACGAACTGTGAGATCATGACCTGAGCCCAAGTCGGACGCCCAACCCACAGCCCCCCGGGCGCCCTCCGCGTGTACTTCACGCTCTGCGTCTCTTCACCTGCCTCTCCCGGACCTCCGTCCTTTCACCACCAGTCTGTACGCCAGGAAGGAAAGTGCTGCTCTGTGTCCATGAGTCGCTGTAGCAAATGAAGCACCCAAGGAGGGGGTCATGGGAACCTCCAGTCTATAGCTGGTCAGTCAGAAGCACGGGGAACAGCCTGGACGTGCCTGTGACTGGCGTCTGAATTTGGGGGCATGGGGGGTGGGATGCTGAGACCCGCGTGTGGCGGGTCCTGGAGCAGCGGTGACGTCTCGGCCTCTGCGGAAGCGCGTGCGAGGAATGGGGCGCTAGGGGAGCAGGGGCCTCCTGGTGAGCCCGCCTGGGGGCCGGTGGTGCCGGGACCCCCATCCCTGACCTGGGTCCTGGTATCCGACTCCGTGTTTGCTCGGGCCTGAAACGCGGGGGCCATCTCCTCCCTCGCCCCCATCGGCGGCCGGGCCGCTGCAGATCCCGCCATGGGTCCCTGGCCGCTGCCGCCACGCAGACCTGCCATCGCTGTGTCCCCGCGGCTCCTGGCTCCGTGCTTCTTCCTTCCCCCTTCCTTCCGTGCCACCCTCCACCCTCTCCACGGCCCGCCCGGCAGGCAGAGGACCCCGGGGGCCACAGGGCAGTCCCGGCGATTTCTTAGCGCGGCACCTCTCCCCCCTCCCCTCCCTCCCTCCCCTCCCTCCCACTCCCTCCCCTCCC